TGCCACCGCCCTAACCATGGCGGTGCCCCCAAGGTAGCACCCCGAGCCCGGTTTTGCCTGCTTTCTTCACCTTTCGACTTCTCCTTTGTAAATGTGCCAACACCACCAAGTGTTAACCAACTTGTACACGTGTATTAGCTTTTCACAAATATTTCCCAAAGGGTTAGTCACTCTTCTTGCCACACCACTCAATCCTAACATGATGCAAAGTTAGATCGCTCAAGCGGCACTAGATAACCGATATGTAAACAAGTTTGCCCCTCTTGATAGTACGGCCATATATCCTAAACCCGATCATAAACTTCTCTACTCACCTATGACCGGTGAAATGAAATGTCCTATAGGTTATACCTTTGCCTTACGCATTCCATTCCATCTCATCCAATGTTGATGCAACACATGCACCAACCATATCACAAATGATATGACTCACTTCATATTATCACGTGACCTTGTTGGTTCATAGATCTTGACCTCACTTGCTTTTCACCGTTGCCTTCGTCCATCGCGCCAAGTCTTACTCAAGCTTCACCGCCACGCGGTCCATCGCTCCAAAGCCTCGAACTTGCCCTTCACGCTTGCAACCGGTCCATCAAGCCAAGTCTTGTCTTGATCTTCTCCACCTTGGTCACATGACTCAATGTCATATCTCATATGCAATGAGCTCCTTTATCACATGTGTGAGCCTTGCAACAAATCCATGCCATCTTCATCGTCATGGCATTAGTTGCTCACACAAGTGTACATGTGGACTAATCACCCGTGTATCTCACATTTAAATACATTAGTCCACCTAGGTTATCACACAATTACTAAAAACTAAACTAGGGACCTTTCACACACCAACCACGTTTGTGGTGCGTCGTCACAGTGTGCTGGAGAGAACAAGGTCATGGCGTTTCAGCCGAAAGCTTGATAGTGAAGACGGCAAGGAGCATCCGAGAAAGGATTGTCGGAAGGTACATCGGAGACCTACTTGCATGCTGGAAAGGCCCAGAGTATCCATGAAGTTACCCGGCTGGGTGCTTGGCCCTAACGAGGGCTTCCTTGCGAGGGGTCCAACGAGGACTTGGGGGTTCTCAATATCTCAATAAAAATACCGAAGTCGTCGACGGGAGTTTGTATCTCTGCCTCACTTAAGCTTTCGTATTTACATGCTACCTTAGTTGTGTGCTTTACCTTTCATGGTTTAATTGATAGGATTGGAACCTAGTTTGCATGACTCGTTTGCGGTAGAGATGGCAACACACCTAACAAAACTGTACTTGCACATTTAGATAGTTTACTTAATTGCATATGTTTTGCTAAGGTTGAAAAATAGAGGCCATAGTTTATAAATAGAGTTTTAAGTTGCCTAATTCACACCCCTCTTAGGCGTCACGGTCCCTTCAATTGGTATCAGATCCGGTCGACTCATTTTTGGACCTTTGGCTTCACCGCCGGTGAGCCGACGCCGTTTAGAGAAGGAAGGATGGATACCTCTAGGCCTCCGCACTTTGACGACACTAATTTCCTCTATTATAATGCTAGAATGGCTTGCTACCTTGATGCGGTAGATTTGAGTGTTCGAAGAGTCACTCGTGACGGGGTGAGACCCCTGAAGAATCCCAAGAAATCAACCGCGAGTGATGAAAAAGAAATTCATCTTAATGCTAGAGCTAAAAATTACTTGTTTAAATCTTTAAGCATGGAAATTTTTAACCAAGTGTTCACCTTAAAAAGTGTTAATGAAATTTGGTTAAATTGCATGAGCTCCACGACGGAACAAGCAATGACCATGAACAAAAACATTGCTGTGCTGCTGTGGCTGACTTGTGAGCCACTCCCTGACGGAACAAGCAATGTCTCTTCCATTCAATTAAAGTCTTGACTTGATAGCAGTGTTCATATTTTTTAAATTTATTTTAGAATTTAACAATATTATTAGTAATAAACGATATGTCCATTGACTATAAGATATCTTTAACGACTCCTTTAATCTCAGATCTACCTATTCATTCTATCAGAGATACTCATATGGTCATAAGCGTCTGTATCTGTATCGACATAATCATCTATCGTCCCTACAATCAGTTCAACATGGCATCTCTCACGGTCACGGTGATAAAACGACGCGGAGCACTAGCTGTCTAGCTACATACTTTGTTCGGCCAATTTGAAAGGTCTGCCTGAACAGATAACTTTTGTAAATTGAGCTGGCCTGATCAATCAAATTGGCAGTTTCTTTTTGTCTCACGTATACTCAGCTGGCCAGCTAACTATTACTTACAGTGGTCCAAACAAAATAAAGCAACAAGACATAACTGCACGAGAGAATATACTATGATAAGGCCAGTCTTAATGTCAGTTTCATAGACATTAAATAATCTGACATGACATAACATAATATAAATGAGGAGAGATGATAAAAATTATATGAGAACGAAACTTTTTTACACAAGACATAAAACTCCCATTAAGCAGGACTGACATAACACTGCCATTCTTTATCGATAGCTCCCCCCAGAGGTTCGCCAGACGAGAACGTTGAAAAGGTCACGTATTTTGCTGCGTGTCCGTGTACGTATTCGAATTAAAGACTCACAAGGTTGCTAGGATAGTGACGATCCCAGTAAGATATGAACGGTGGCTAGACGGCAATGTTTGAATAAAATGCTTTGAGAAATGGAGAAAATAAGGTTGTATGTTTACACATAAAAGTGGAGAAAACTGGAAAGACTATTTTGATGCTGTAGCGTTTATATAAATTCATTAAAGTTTGAGAAGTTTGATTTAAGATAAAACTAAAACGATCTATATTTTGTAAAGGATGGTCACTTGAATTGAAATCTAAAAATAATGACTACTCCCTCGTCCGAAAATACAAATACTTCTATGAGCAAATTAAGCTGCAAGAGGAAAAGTCCACCATGCAATTCGTTATAAAAGCTAAGCAAGCTCATGATTGGCTTAAGTAAGGCAATTACTATGGCATTCTAAAATAGAATAACTGTGGAGCGTCCATTTAATTAGATGGGGATGTGTATAATCACCTATTTTCTTCTATAAGTAATAGATAAAATATTTTCATAGGGTAAATAGGGAAAATATTTTAAATTTTGAAATACACAGGATAAATACGGAAAATATTTTAAATTTTGAAATACGCAGAATAAATAGGGAAAATATTTTCCTGTTAGATCTAAGTTTACTGCATCATGATTATTTGCCAATCTTTAATAACGACTTGACTTAGATCCCAACATGATTTGTTGTGACTTTTTTTGAACATGATATAAATGAACACCAAATTCTTATTTCACTACCAGAAAATAGAATTTTTTTGGCGGCCCATAATTTCTTTGAGTGACGAAACCTAGCCGCCAAGGAACAATCCTTGGCGGTTCCATTCGGTCTCCAAAATATATACAATTTTCCTTGAATGTTATTGTTAATTGCCAAGGAAACCAACCAATTTCCTTGAGTGCTACTGTAAACCACCAAGGAACATCACCATTTTAAAATTAATATTTTAATGATTTTTTCAAATGATATCAGATGGGGAAATGATCTAAAACAAAGTTATAGTACTCGAAGAGATCTAAAACCTTCCAGTACAAACTTTTTTCATTTGAATTCGTTTAGGGTACCGATACGCATTACAACATTCACTAAAGTGAATTGAAAAGGAATGTATCAGCCAGTTAGTTACAGGAGGATTCAAAGTTGTAGTGGTAAGGAAGTAACATGCAAGACTTGAGGGTGTGAGTTTCATTCCCAGTGCGTGTGGGATTTCTTTGAAGTTTTTAGAAACTTTTTTTGCTTGGTGGTTGTAACATACGGAGTATTTCCTTGGTGGTTTGAGGCCCTCAAGAAATTGGATATACTTGGCTCTCTAATTTTCTTGATGCTTCGTAACTTTTGCCATCGTACAATTTATCTTGGTTGCTGAACCGCCAAGAAATTCATCCTTGAGGGTGGATCACCAACCAAAATGAAATTTCCTTTCGCTCTATACTTGGCGACCGCTTCTCAAGAAACATTTTCTTGGTGGTTTTCATATTTTATTTGGCGGGTTTTGAATTTCAGTTGTTTGGGTAGTGAAGGAAAGGAGAAAGGTGCCTCCTAAAGCCCACTCCCATTGAGATGACCAGAATAGCTTCCATGAAATTAATCAACAAAAATATTTCTATACGGAAAACCTAGATAGAAAGATAAGTGGTACTCCATGTAGATAATAACAGAACTAGAGAGAGAAGATAATGGATTGATTGAAAATATATATTTTCTAAAAATAATCTATTAGGAATATAATTTCCACATGTACTGTTTATATGACATGATAAGTATAGGAACTATGTTCTATACATCCTTTCATAGTCGGGACTTTTCTAACTCAATTGTATTAACATTTTGTTTTGACGTGATTACACCTGGAGCATTAAAGTATAATTCAAAGCCGGCTGTGAACAATGAGAACGCTATGGAGCATTAAAATAGAATTCAAAGCCAGCTGTGCCTCAAAAGCTAGCAACAAGAGATACTTGGAGGCGCTTGACGTAGTGACATACAATATTATTATGGAGTAGTAATATATGGACTTGCTCTTCCCGGCCGGTCCTCTTAAGGGCTCGTTCGGCTAGGTGAAATTCAACCAGGAATCCTTCCAGCTAATCAGAACTAGTATAAATTAGTAAAGCATTCCCGATAGAAATGGATCTAGGGGTTAGTTTCCTGCCAATCGTACAGGCCCTAAGTCTTCGCACTCTCTTCTATACTTATATATATATATGCTCTGAGCAAACAGCAAAGAGAGCATACAAGCAAAAGCAACCAACGCTCTACTACAAGCAAAAGCAACCAACGCTCTACTAGTATTCTGTATCTACCAACGATCAAGGCAAATAATTAAACTTCCATTCGCCACAAACACACACACACACATACACATACACACATACAGTATCTAGTATTCTGCATCCTACGAGCTTAATTAATTAATTAGCTTCTCCGATCGATCGATGGCCTGCACTACGGCAGCATCCCTGCAGCATGACAAGGCCAGCGACGACGAGTCGTGCCTGTACGCCCAGGAGCTCCTGGGCGGCTTCGTCGTGCCCATGACACTCAAGGCGGTCATCGAGCTCGACCTCATCGACGACCTCCTCGCCGCCGACGGGCGCTCTGTGACCCCGGAGGAGCTGGCGGCGCGGTGGCCGCGGCCAGCCGAGACGGCCGCCGCGGTGGACCGCATGATGCGGCTCCTAGCGTCGCACAGCGTCGTCAGGTGCACGACGGAGGTGGGGCCGGATGGGAAGGCCCGCCGAAGCTATGCCGCGGCGCCGGTGTGCAAGTGGCTCGCAACTCGGAACGCCGGACAGGGCTCGTGGGCTCCTATGGGGCTGAAGAACCTAAACAAGGTGTTCATGGAAGCCTGGTGTGTGTGTGTGTGTGTGTGTGTGTTATACGTGCACGTACAGCATTAATTATTCCTACATAAAGTGTATGTAAAAAGAACAATGAATGATGATGAATCACAGGTACTACATGAAGGACGCCGGGGCGGAAGGAGCGACACCGGCCGAGAAAGCCTACGGCATGCCGCTGTTCGAGCACCTGGCGTCGGACAAGGCGTCCAACACGCTCTTCAACCAGGCAATGGCCGGCCACTCGGAGATGATAATCAATAAGCTGCTCGAGGACTACCGCGGCTTCGAAGGCGTCGACGTGCTCGTTGACGTCGGCGGCGGCACCGGCTCCACGCTGCGCATGGTCACCGCCCAGTATAAGCACCTGAGAAGCGTCAACTACGACTTCCCCCACGTCATCGCGCAGGCGCCGCCGATCCAAGGTCAGTCATTGGCCTCGTTCGGCTGGTACGATATTGCTTGTTCCACTTCTTTTTTCAACCAAAATAGTGTTTTTCTCTTATAACATTTCAGCCAGAACAATATTTTTTAGCTAATTTTAACCAAGTTTCAGATCAACGAACGGGGCCATTGCATTATTGGTGGCGGCTACACAAAATTCACTTCTTTTGCTAACACACATACACATTCTTGTGTATATATGCAGGTGTGGAACATGTAGGTGGCAGCATGTTTGAGTATATTCCGAGCGGAAATGCAATTCTTTTGAAGGTCTGTTTCGTCGGCTTATCGTATTCCTATTATTACAAACTCATGCGTGGCAGCAGATAAATGTATTCCAAACAAATGCATGTCTGACAGAGAACACATGGTGGTTATTTATTTATTTTTGTCAACAAAAAAAAAACGTGCAGTGGATTCTCCACCTGTGGCGCGACGAGGAGTGCGTGAAGATCCTCAAGAACTGCCACCGGGCGCTCCCGGCGAACGGGAAGGTGATCGTGGTGGAGTACGTGCTCCCGGCGAGTCCGGAGCCGACGCAGGTTGCGCAGGCCGCGTTTCTCCTGGACGTGGTGATGCTGAACCGCCTCAGGGGCGCCAAGGAGCGGACGGAGCAGGAGTTCGCCCAGCTGGCCGCCTACGTCTTCGCCTGCGTCTGGGCGCTCGAGTTCACCAAGTAGCTACCTGCTCGGCGCTCGCGGTGGCACGATGACATTTACTTATCTATATATATGACCGTCTTTAATTTGTGCTGTTTTTTTTTCATTGGAGTAAACGGAATAAGGACCTTGCGGCCCAGTGTCGCATTATGTACGTGTGCTTATTTTGTTTTCCTAAAAAAAAGGTGCGCTTATTTTGTTCTCCGTACCAGGCGTAACCTAATTTCGTTACCACAAAAGCAACCAAATACTCGCTTCGTCTTAAAGTATAAGTAATTCTAACTTTTTTTTAGAGAGTCAAAGTATTTCAAATATGGTCAAAATTATAGGGAGAATTACAAAAAGTTATGACATCATTATGACATGTATGAAAATATAATTAATGAAAAATCCAGTGATACTTATTTGATATCTTAAATATTATTATTTTATTATATAAATTTGGTCAAACTTGGGATGCTTTAACTATTCAAGAAAGTTGGGGCTGGGACACCGGCGCCCGACCAGGCGGCGGCCACAGGGTGCGGCTCCGCTATAGCGTCATCGTCCTCTCTCCCCAACCCCTTTGCCACCCCCTTCCGTCCAGTTGGCAGCCCAGCGGGGCGCCCCATGGGCCATGGCCGTCGCTGGGTGGAGGGCAGCTTATCTGATGACTCCGACGAGAGGAATCCCCGCCGCCCGCCTCCTCATCCCCGTACCTTGACGCGGTTCGCCGGCAACAACAGCCGCGACCTGCATCGTCGCGGCCTGCGCAAGCGTAGCCACGCCATCGGCCGTCGAGGGGGGGGGGGCGTGGCGCCACCGCCGTGGGGATGCGCAGGCAACCCAAGCGTCGCCGAGCATGGCCACAACTCCTCCACGGGCTTTGTACACGGCAGGGACGTTCGTAGCGGAACCTCCCGGGTCACGAGTGATGGCAACTGGCGCTTTGCCGATCCATCAGAGGCTCGGCCCACGGGTGCCTACCGGCAACCGCCGCCGCATCTTCGACCCAGACGCGGATGGGTGGCGCAGGGTCTTGACGTGAGGGTCGGCAGGCGGCGTTGATGGGACAACACCTGTGCGGTCCGCGGGCCCTTGGCCTCCGAGACGCATCCCGCTAGACCAACGCGGTAAGTCCCTTAATTGCCTCTCCTCCGCTCATCAGGTGGTAACCTGTAGGCTGCCCCTGCGTTGTCTATGCTGTAAAGGATTTTGACACCTTGAGCGCGACTGCAAGCAGCCACGGCTTACGGGCTCTGTGTGCTCGGGCGTTGCAAGCGCCGCGGGTGACCGGGCACAACGATCTTCATGAGACACTGGTGGGGCTGCGCTGGTGGACAACGCTGGTCCAGCCAGCGACAGACAACAATAGTGACGATGGAGGCACCACGATCGGTCGACAGGGGCCGGCCCCGCAGCGCCAGGTGACGCCGCTGCCGGAGCCCGGGCCGGACGCCGACGCCGGCGATGGAGGAGCCACGGTCGATCGGCAGGGGGCCGCCACGGCAGCGTCGGGCGACACCTTTGCCGCTATCGGAGCCCAGGGCGGTCACGGTTGTAAGGAAAATGAACCCTAGGCCCATTTACTTTGGATTTTGGTGTTTGATGGCCAATACAACCAAATTGGACTAATGAATTTACGAGTGATTGTTTTGTAGTTCAATAGGGTGCAAAACGTGACTTGGACGAAGGCGACGTGATGATCCCACGATCAACACCATAAGCAAGACCCTAGAAGCACAAGAGAAGACTCGGCCCAGCAGACGATGTTACGAACGACGCACAACTCATGGTTCGGCCCAAAAACCTAAACGACAGGCCAGAAAGGCGATCAAATCTCCGATCGGAAGGCCTGGCCGAGGAGGAACGGCGCCCACTTCCGACTCTGGCCCGCCTCTCTGACCGGAAGGCCTCGCTACAGAGGAACAACGCTCACATCTGACCCTGGCCCGCCTCCGGACGGCCACTCCGATCGGAAGGCCTGGCCAAACACCACTTCCACTCCAACCCGCATCTCCGATCGGGGAAGCTTGCACACTTCTCGATTCCTCGGTAAAAATACTGGAGTTGTCGATGGGAGTTTGGATATCTCTACCTTGCTCTTTAGCTTCCGTATTTACATTGTTTATATTACTCCTTTTACGGTAGAGATAGCAAATCACTAGCAAAATTGTAGTTGCACATTTAGATAGTTTATCTTTTGCATACGTTTTGTTAAGGTTAAATCAAGAGGCCATAGTTTAGAGTCATAATTTTAAGTTGCCTAATTCACCCCCCCTCTTAGGCGTTACGGTCCCCTACAAGTGGTATCAGAGCCGGTTGGCTCAATTTGGACCTTTGGCTTAATCGCCGTTGAGCCGACGCTATTTAGAGTAGTTGGGATGGATACCTCTAGGCCTCCGCACTTTGACGGCACTAACTTCCCTTACTATAAAGCTAGAATGGCTTGTCACCTTGAGGCGGTAGACTTGGGTGTTTGGAGAGTCACTCGTGACGGGATGAAACCCATTAAGATTTCCGATAAACCCACAAAGAGTGAAGAAAAAAAAATTTATTTCAATGTCAGAGCTAAAAATTGTTTGTTTAAATCTTTTAGCATGGATGTGTTTAACCAAGTGTTTACTTTAAATACGACACATGGAATTTGGTTAAAACTCCAAGAGCTCCATGATGGCACATCTAATGTCCGTGAGCAAAAACATTGTCTAGCTAAATAAAATTATGATTCCTTTGAAATGAATGGCGATGAGCTTGTTCATGATATGTATTCTTGTTTGAATCTAATTATCAATGAGTTCCATTCAATAGGATTAACAAAGCTAGATGATGCGGACATCGTGAGAAAGATCATCTCCGTGCTACCATAAAGGAAACATACAAGCATCATCACCATCCTTCACAACATGGAGGACTTGAGCATCATGACCCCAGCCCATAGTCATTGGCAAGATAGTGGCATTTGAAATGTCATGCAAGATGAGTCAAGAAGAAGCCTCTTCATCAAGTAAAGGCAAAGCTCTCGCATGTAGCAAGAAAAAGAAGATGAAGGGCAAGCAAGTTGAGATAAGCTCAAGTTCAAACTCCTCAAGTGAAGATGAAGAAGAAGATGAGGATGATGATGATGATGATGATGATGATGATTCAAGTGATGATGATCAATCTTTCTCCTCCACCTCCGACCTTGATGAAGAATCAATAAAACTTATCAACAAGGTGGAGAAGATAATCCAAAGGCTCAATGTCAAGGGTGTGCCCATCTAAATTCAAGATATCATCTTCACCAATCAAAGAAATGAGCAAAAAAGAGAGGATGCTATGGATGCGACGAATTGGGGCACTTTGTGAAAGTTTGTCCAAATAAACCCACACCCAAGACAAAGAAGGCGTGCAAGAAGAAAGCCCTCACATCAATAAGATCATAGGATGATTCTTCAAGTGAAGAAGAAGACCACCACAAGAGGCGCGGGCACAAGCACTCATCATCAAGCTTTTCTCGTATATGCCTTATGGCACGAGGTAACGATAGCTCATCCTCTAGTGAGAGTGATAGTGATGATGAAATGCCTTCTTATGATGAAATTGTGCAACAAAATCTTAATTATGCTAAAGTTTACACTAGTCAACAAAAGAAGCTCAAAAAATTAAAAGAAAAGCTAGATAGTTCACAAGAAACATATAAAACTTTGTTTGAACAATATGAGACATTTGCTAATCTCAATATTGAACTATCTACTAAAATTGAGCAACTTGAGGCTAGTGCAACAATAAATGCATGCACAATCAATGATGAGCAACTTGTAAAGAAAAATGAAAAATTAAAAGAAAAGTTAGCTAGCTCACAAGATGCTTATAAAAGTTTGCTTGCTAAAATAGAAACCATGTGCAAACATTGTGATGAGCTAACTAATAAAGTTGCTAATGTTGAAGTCGTTGGTACAACCCCCACCATGGCATCTAAAAAGAAAAGTTTTATCTTTAACATGTTTAAAAAGGATGCCTCAACTTCTTGTAATGATTTATGTTTAGACTCACCTTTGTGCAACTAAGTTTGTGTTGAGAAAGTTGTTGTAGATACATGCACACAAGAGGTTGCAATGGAGAATGAGCAACTCAAGTAAGAAGTAGCTCGCCTCACCAAGGACTTGACTCAAGTGAAAGGCAAGACAAAGCAAGCCCAACTTCATCAAGATAATACCGTCAAGGGAGTGAAGAAGCTTGATGAAGGACAAACCATGGTTTGCTATGTATGCCACAAGGAAGGTCACAAGTCCTATGAGTGCAAGGTGAAGAATAGGGGAGGAGCAAAGAAGAAAGAGAAAAAGCAAACAAGCAAGCTCTCTAAGCCCTACACCAACAAGGTGGACAAGAAGTCCTCCACACCTTATCTCATGAAGAAGAAGAAAAATGACAAGGTGGTGGCCACCAAGATGAACAAGCAAGCCAACAATGAGGTCAAACGCTTTTGGATGCCAAAAGAGATCATTTCAAATATGAAGAGCACCAAGAAGGTTTGGATTCCGAAAGGGAAGTGAAAAGTCTAATGGACTTTGGGGAATTTGAAGACTTGGCAAAGTATGGATGCATTTCATGGGGTGCATTATTATGGATAAAGTAATTGCCAAGTGGGTTAGTGAATACTATGGACCCAATTTCTTCTTTCCATGTTAGGTAACTAGATATAATTTCTTTCAATTTGTATTTCCTACAAGTGGTATTTCTTACAAATTGGTATCTTTTAGCATCTAGTTGCTTTTCATGCCTAGGTTTGCATTTACATGCTTATATCTTTTGTCATGCATACACTAGGTAAATCATATGGTAGGCTTGCTCGGTTTCACTCTTGACTCTTGGAGCAAACCTATATGGTTTAAATTGTTTAGGAGCACGGCACATAGCTTGTTTTACAATTGTTCATCTAATATGTGTCAAAGTCTAAATTTTAGATAATTTCTCCTGAATATCACCTTCGAAAATGATTCTCACATTCATGTGATATCATCTTTCAAGTGGTATTTTTTATTCTAAAATCAATGTGCATGTCTTCTATAAGTATTACATACTTGTGTGCACAAATTTAGGGGGAGGTTATTCTACAAATTGGATGCTTTGAGACTAACACATTTTTAAGCTTATCATGTGTGTAGTAGTCTCATTGCAAGGAAAATGGAGTCCCCAGAGTTAAACATCATACTTTAAATATCCATCATCTATTGCAAGTGGTAGAAATCAAATTAGTTTTCACATGTGGTATTTCTAAACCGATATCATCATGTTGATTTCACTTTGATATTTATATGCTTTCTCCATGTATTATATAGACTAAACTCCTTTGAGCATTAATTTGCCAATTATGCATAAACTACTTCTCCATCATATGTATGCATATATTTAGGGAGAGCTTAGTCTATGTAATTTGAGAGTCAAATTTTGTGACCTATTTCATTTCACATACAAAGGATCACAAAGTTTGACCCTCCTTGTGCTACTAATATCTTCCTTTTTGGTGTTTGATTCCAAAGGGGGAGAATTTAGAGGACCAAAAGCAAGCATTAATTTGTAGGACCAAAAGCAAGATCATAATAATTTACAAGTGGTAATGGTCTACTAGTGGTAATGGCCCGAGAAAGGGAGGATAGTGGATTATGGATTAGTCTAAGTAATGGGGAGAATTTGTAGGATCAAAAAGTAAGGCTTAAATCCATAATGCCACATGGGGACATTTGCAAGGGCAAGATAAGTTTTCAAAAGACGTTTACATGTGGTACCTTTTAGCTTTACAATCGGTATCTTCAATTAGTATCTTTTATTCTTACAAGTGGTATCTTTAGCATCATATAACCTTGCTCTTTGCATTGCATCCTAGCAAGTAGATAATTTTTAAATTCCAAATTTTTATTATTTGCTTGATTTGGTTGTGTTGTCATCAATCACCAAAAAGGGAGAGTTTGTAAGGAAAATGGACCCTAGGCCTATTTACTTTGTATTTTGGTGTTTGATGACCAACACAACCAAATTAGACTAATGAATTTGCGAGTGATTGTTTTATAGTTCAATAGGGTGCAAAACATGACTTGGACGAAGGCGACGTGATGATCTCATAATCAACACCATAAGCAAGACCCTAGAAGCACAAGAGAAGACCCAAGATATAAAGCAAAGTCCAAGCACGAAGATAGGAACCAAGCTAGACGCAAGATCGTGAAAAAACGAGCTCACAGAGGTGACCAGACGCTGGAAGGTGATCGACCCGATGCTGGAAGGTGATCGACCGGACGCTCCGATCAGTGACTCGGCTACAGCAGGCGTCAGCAGCAGCGACCGGACGCTGAATAGTAAAGTGATCGGACGCACCAATGGCACTGTTTATCATCCCGACAACACGTTCAGTATTTGACCGGACGCTGGCGGCAAATCGATTGGACGCAGGACTGCAGCGTCCGATTGAGTACAGAGAGGTTCCAGAGCGGTGAAATTGCGACCGGACACCAGTAGCATCCGATCAGTTGATCACGGCTCTAACGGTCGGGACGACCGGGCGCGTCCGATCAGGACGACCTGAGCGTCCGGTCAGTAGCAGAAAAGCGGGATTTCGTCCCCAACGGCTACTTTCTCAGTGGGGCTTATAAATAGACCCACAACTGGGCATTTGACATGTTTGGAGCTAAGAAAACATATTTAGGGTGTTGATACACCATTTTAGTGTCTCCACTTGCATAACGCTTAGTGATTCATTAGGTGATTAGCGTAGGTGCTTTGCGAAGTGCTTAGGTTGATTAGACCATCGCTTATGCGCTTGCTCTAGGTTTAGGCCTAGTGTTTAGTGAGGTTTGCATACCTCTTACTACCCGGTGCTTGCGCACACCATTGTTGTACATCGGAGGGGCTTGTAGTCTTGCGAGATCACACCAACCGCGTTTGTGGTGTGGCCGCCACCATGTACCGGAGGGAACAAGGCCCACGGCGTTTCGGCCGGAAGCTTGATAGTGAAGACGGCGAGGAGCGGTTCGGGAGAGGCTTTGCCACGAGTGGCTTAACCGAAGACCCGCTTGCGCGTGGGGAAGGCCCGGAGCTATCCATGGAGTTACCCGACCGAGAGCTTGTCTCTTGCGAGGGATTTCTTGCGAGGGGCTCCAACGAGGAATAGGGGGAAGCTTGCACGCTTCTCGATACCTCGGTAAAAATACCAAAGTCGTTGACGAGAGTTTGCATATCTTTACCTTACTCTTTAGCTTTCGCATTTACATTGTTTACATTACTCCTTTACGGTAGAGATAGCAAATCACTAGCAAAACCGTAGTTGTATATTTACATAGTTTATCTTTTGCATACGTTTTGCTAAGGTTAGATCAAGAGGCCATAGTTTAGAGTCAGAATTTTAAGTTGCCTAATTCATGCCCCCTCTTAGGCGTCACGGTCCCCTACAACGGTGAGTTGACTGGCGAGACGGGCCTTGTCGAGCTCGACCCATTGACGCTGACAATGTACACGGATGCCACACATGTCCGTAACGTCACGGAGGCCCCGCTGCTGGTGGAGCTCGTGGCCTCGCTTGCTAGCAGTCGGATCGTCACGTGCCCTCCACTTGGGCACCCAGCTCCGACAGTCACCAAGCTGGCGGATGAGGCCCCGGCGGTGGTCACTTGTGTCTGCTCCTGCAGCCTTCCAGGGAAGCAGTAGACGCCGTCCCAGGATGCCAGCTCGACGCTGCGGACACCACCCCTGCGCCCCACTCAGTGGGAAGTGGCCTCGCCCCCGGTGTCGCCTTAGCAAGTGCAGTGTAGACACAGGTCACGCCAAAAGCGGTTGGTATTCAACGACCCCTTAGACGTTGATGTGCCCACTATGGGCGAGGAGGGCTACCCACTAGGCTTCGGTCCGGTCATGCTCACGATGGATGCTGATCTTCCCAGTATGCTACCAGGGGATGCCTACCAGACCGTTGACAACGACGCCTCCTTCAAGCGCCGCCTCAACAACTTCACCAAGGCAGTGGTGCGTAAAAGGGCCTCCCCGCTGATTTGTGAGCCGCCCAAGCCGCCGCTTGCAAAGACGGTGCTGCCGCTGCGCAGCAAGCGTCTAGCAGCTCAAAGCCTCCCTCAGGTGCCTGCTTCCAAGCGAGGTGAGATCCTAATATGCAGCTATCGGGTTTGGTCACAAGTGTGTCAACGCCAAGCGCATCTGCGATAAAGGCCTACGAGGCCGGGCCCAACGCTTCCAACGTCGAAGCGTTGGAAGTGCTCTTCTAGGGCAGCGGGAAGGAGTCGCGCCGACAACAACGGAAGAGCAAACCACCTTCCTAGGTTGTGTCACTGCCCCCTTATCCCCGTGGTCTACTATTTGTGTAATATTGAAATATGTACCTGTTTATTAGGATGGTCTAGCCCACGGCTGTAATCCTGTAGACCTAACTTTTCTGCTTTATAATTTGGAACGGAGGGAGTAGGTAATATGTATACTTATTTGTTAGCTATTTTGTTATGTAATGTAACAGTTCGTACTAGCGCACTGTGTTTCACTGTTTTCTACTACCTTTTCTCACTACGGACAAGCCAAATTTCATTACTTGAAATCAACGAAATTACAAAAGTTTGTAACAGCAAAATAACACTGCACCGAACCTAAGCTGAGGCCACGCTGAATGAACACAATTACACCAAGGGTTCACCCAACGCCAACTGGCACTAAACAAAACACGAAAACCGTCCAGCCTTAAACCAGTTTACAGCGTCAGCAGCCAAACGAATGATACATTGCGGCCCCTTGCTTCGTCCGTCCACTTTTCTTCCTCGCCGGCCAGAAACTACTGGACAGGTGGTGGAGGCGCAAGGCGCAAGCAAGGAATTCAGGGGTGTGTCGATCTTTGGCCGTGGGAACAGTCAGAAGCAGCATGTGGACCGGTAGACGCTCAGGATGGGAAGGGATTGCCAGTGAAGTTAGTCCTCAGGTATTCATCAATGCACAGCAGTACAGTGTATCGATCTTCAAATCAAAACCCGAACAGCGACCGGGTGCTCGGGGGCTCATGACGCCAGGGTGGTGCTCGGGCAGTTGTCGACGCCGCAGGCCAGGACGTCGCGGTAGTCGCGGGAGACTGTTAAGTGGTCGTGCACGCTGCCGTCCCGGCGCTTATTGTACTCCAACAGCAGCGTCGTGTGGTTGAACGCCGTCAGCTTCGCGAACCCAAAGTCGTGGTCCCGCACGTGGCTCCACCGCGCCCGCACGGCTGTGTAGTCGGCGAGGCTGGCGCCGCCGCCGCCCACCACGACGTGCGTCGTCGCCGTGAAGGCGCCGGTGTAGAGGTCAGACCCCTTGGCCACGCACGCGATCTGCGTTTCACACACACAAATTAAATCCAACCAGAGTGATAAGTCTTCTACTACAAAAATGAGCGTCAGCTAGCCACAGGAGATGGAATGAAGCTGAGAAGAACCTCGTATACTGGGCAGGTCCGTTCGTAGCCGTGGACGTGGCCATACATAGCGATGTCGACCTTGTGCTTCTGCCAGAGTGACTGAAGGCTCTCGCGTCCCATGGGCTCCTCGGTTGTTCCTTCGTCCGCGTAGAAGGTGGCGGACGAGTAACCCAGAACACGGTGCGCGAGGAAGATGAGCCACGGCTGTTTCTGCCGATCAACAGACGACAGGCAGTGCTCGATGAACCTGTACTGCTTCGTGCCTGGCCTCCAGTCCAACTCGGTATTGGCTATGCAGAAACGGAACATCCCGTAATCCATTGAGTACCTAGAAGGATAAGCTGATGCTAGATGAGAGCTTCTTGGAGACAAAATTAGAAAACATTCGTCATGTTTTTCGGCACGACTTCAGCAGTACTTTTCAGCGAAGAAAAAGTGTTTTTCTCTCGTAATAAATCAGCAGCATCAGCCAAATTTCAGCGAAACGAACAGTATCAATACTGCAACTTTCTATTCTATGGGAAAATCAGATGAACAGCGATGCACAGCTCAGCTCCATGAACAAATAGCTTCAATACTGTATGTGGTAATTTCAGCCAATGGGGGAATTGTTTATTTTTGTGGGTGAGTAATGAAATTTCAGCCATTTCAGCTTCAAACACCATGAAAGTTTGTTAACCTTTTTTTTGAACGAATAAAAGGTTGTTAAAAAGTCCTCTTGCCTGTCAGCTTCATGTTTAATGCTATGTCTTCAATCTTGACCATATCCGCGCGCGGGGGTGTTGTTTAACACATTTTGTAAACTAATTTTAAATCTAACATTGTTTTATTTTTTCCCAAAACTATTTTTTTCCCGAAATGGGGGGATTTTTTTTTATTCTTACACATTTTGTAAACTAATTTTAAATCTAACATTGTTTTATTTTTTCCCAAAACTATTTTTTTCCCGAAATGAGGGGATTTTTTTATTCTTACATATTTTGTAAACTAATTTTAAATCTAACATTGTTTTATTTTTTTTCCAAAACTAATTTTTTTCCCAAAATGGGGGGATTTTTTTTATTTTTAACATATTTTGTAAACTAATTTTAAATCTAACATTGTTTTGTTTATTACCAAAACTATTTTTTCCCGAAATCTAACACTTTTGGCCGCGCCTATTTTCCTGTCGCGACGAAATGCCTGTGCCGCGCCATGCATGGTGGAGCGGCGAGGGCGATGACGTGGCAACGACCAGGGCGCTGACCGGTGACGTGGCAGGATCTGCCGCGCCATCCCTCACGGCGCGGCAGTCCCAGGTAAATATCGCCCGCGAGCCGCCCTCTCTCTTGTTCGCCTCCCCACGCCCGCCTTTGCCTACCCAGACGCTCTCCTCACAAGCGCCCACGAACGCCGACGCGCCACCCTCCGGCACCCCTTGCCCTCTCCCACGCACACAAGTAAGTATCTGTAAAATTTAGCTACCTTTTGTAAAATTCATATAGGTATTTGTTAGGGATATCAATAGTCTCGTATGCGATGAATTCTGCGTGTATGTTTCGTTAAATTTTTTTTGTAAAATATATTCATCACCTTCCGTTTTAGAGTTGACAAAGAAGCTTCTAATATATATATTATTATCGTAGGGCCATGGTTATCTTTCTATATTATCTGTATTTATTTTTATTTTAAAGCTAGCAAAAAAGCTTTTAGCATACTCAGCGGCACGAAACCATGGTTTTGTTTTCCTAAATTGTCTATAGATACGTTCACCCGCCCATAGATACATTCATTCGTTTTCGTATAACAGTTAGTAACGAAACCTCTAGCATACTCATTAGTGCGGTGTCGTGAATAGCTTCCCGTATTATCCGCATTTGTTTTCATTCTAAAGTTGGCAAAGAAGCTTTTAGCGTACTCGCTAGCGCGAAGTCGTAGCTTTAATTTGTCTTTTCAAGTTGGACGTAAATGCTTAAATGTGGGGAACGAGTGGCGAAAGGCTGTCGCTTCTGGTGGATGGAAACAGGCTATCATGAGAGGAAAGAAAGAAAAGCTATATAGCAAATGTAGTTATGGCATCTCCCCAATTATATATTGTGTAAATTATATATTGTAAATCAACAGTGCAATGAAAAATAAAGGAAAGCTATATAGCAAATGCAGTTATGGCATCTTCTAGTTGTCTTGTGTCTGAACAGCCATACATAGACGTTGCTTATTTTCATAGTGAAGTTATTTAATATGTCTGTTAATGTTATTTTGAATATATACATGTGCTTTCATATTGTGTTCGTATTGCATAACAAGTAGTTCAAATTTTACAATGCTACATAATGTTAATTTGAATATTGTTAATTTGAATACTCTAACCCTTTGTTTATCAATTTATAACATGATGACCCCTCCCACGCAGCACCCGTTATACCCCTTTCTTGAGGTGGAGTACGATGATCCGCACCGAGCACACTTCTTGATTGACACCGACGCAGAGGTGCCCTTGTCTCCTTTGAGGCCCCGCACGCACACCAGGGCGTACCAGTGGGACGAGCGTCACGCGTCGTACATACCGCATGCCGTCTTTCTCGAGCTTGTCCGTGTTGTCAACTATGGTCTTTCGTCCCTTGACCCAGCACTACTTACTGCAGCTGTAGACAAGTGCGCGTGCCTTCATTATACGTAAACATTCTTATAACAAATTTGAGGTAACTAACAGTCGTTCTATTCTTATAACGGTGGAGGCCTGAGACCTACACGTTCTATCTACCTTGCGGCGAGATGACCTTGACCATGTAGAACGCGAAGGCTATCTTTGGCCTTCTGTTGGGGGGACTTACAGTGACAGGTATAGTTGACAATGATCACTGGAGGAAGCTGGTGGCTCAGTTCACTGGCTTTCTTCCACCGGACGACGAGGTTTCCAAGAAAAATAAGTGAGCAATTCAAGCATATTTAATACTTGCATTGCTTTCCTGCAGCCATTGGGTCTTATTTTCTTTGGTGAATTTCAAAAAAAGTTTCGGTGTTTCGTCGTCGTGGATCACAGAACACTTTGATTACTTGGACCCATAGGCTGATGAGGCTCAGATCGACAGGTTCGCTAGAGTGTGGCTCTGGCACTTCCTTGGGACTTTTCTATTCCCAGACGTCTCGGGCAACACCATCAGCTGGATCTTTCTTGACATACTACGCCAGTCGTGGGATAACATAACGGCGTACAGCTGGGGCAGCGCAGTCTTGGCATGGACGTATCGACAACTATGCGTTGCCTGCCATCGCACCTCAGGGTATGCGAACCTTGAGGGTTGCTCCTACCTACTTCAGGTTTGGTGTTGGGAACGATGGCCCCTTTGGGAGGCCCCTTGTTACTGGTTTTCCTGTAAGTACTTCGGTTCACTATATTCTTCGAGGCAGTTACATAAGATGAAATTATTAATGGCTAATTCATTATCGTGTTCAATGCAGCATTGGAACGGACAGGATACACTCACTACAGCTCTGTATATCTGGACGCAAGCAGAGTTAGTTAGAGGAAATACGAGGCACAAGTACAGGGAATACACGGACTGTCTCGACGTCCTGACATAGCACCAGGTTACGCTCTCTTTACTATCATACATGTGTCTTGTTCGATGTCACTATATTATAATCTAACTCAATTACAAAATATTCAGGTACATTGGTGTCCTTAGGATGCTCCAGAGCTCTAGGACTAGTCCTGTCACTAGGGATGAGTCAGACGAGTATCGCTGCAACATCTCTCTTATTTTCTTTCACGTGGTCGAGATTCATTTGCCCATCAGAGTTTACAGACAGTTTGGAAGAATGACAGGCTACCCACCACCGTTTTACTCCACCAACCAAAAATTGCACGAGTGTGTTATCGATTAATAACAAAGCTACAATTCAGAGGTGTGTATGGTACAACTAACAATCGTTTTGTTGCAGGTATGACCGCAGGAAGACGATGACGACGACGACCCCCCGGGCTTCCGCATACACCACCACCAGTGGGACCCTTGGCAGCAGGACGAGATCAGCATGTCTCAGCTAGGTGGCACGGGCGTTTCGCCGCGCCAAGGAAATAAGCGCGGCCAAAAGTGTTAGATTTAAAATTAGTTTATAAAAAATGTTAAAAATAAATAAAAAAATCTCGGGGAAGGGGGGGGGGATTTCATACCAGAACTGCTCGCGGTTTTCTGCTGGCACGTAGAACATATTCTGAGCTGGTACCCCGCATTCGCCGCCTGAGTCAAGATTTCCGTAGAAAGATCCTGATCCAGGCCAATCTCTTTCGTGGTTACCACTGCAACCACAAATTAGTAGCATCAGAAACATATAAAAGCTGCTCCATTTCATTATCATTTGATCTGTTGTCAAGTTGGAATCCTGGACGAACCTCGCAACCATGTAAGGCACAGTGGAAGCAATGGGCTCAACCTGTGCAGTGAATTGATCCCACTGTGACAGAGCCATTGGCATATGCGATGTCTCCAATATGGAAAACCACATCAATGTTCTTCAAGTCTTTAATTAGCTGGTTCGTTGTGTTAAGTGAAGCAGGCTCAAAGTCATTGAACTCATTTGAACCATCAACCTCAGCCTGATAAAAAGGAAGTTTAAATGACAACTTTAGTGTCAAGCAGTAAAAAGAAGTCCCATCTACTTCTTTTGAGGAAACACTTCCTCCTGTACTAATAAGCAAACAAATTTAAACACATTAGAAGGCCACTAGTCTTCTTTTTTCTTGCTTGTTAGTTTGATTTGAGATGAGAAAAGTGGCTAATATTTCCAGCACCAACAAAATTAGCAATGAACATACAACATTTTGGTGGATAAGTTCCTAGGTAAGGAAAAAACAGATGCTGAAGGTCAAGAGATGCTAAATTGGCCTTCTGCCAATAGCTGTGCAGCAGGCATTGATATAATAATTCTATTGCATGTCTGCAAAGGATAACGAAAGGACAAGCATCTTGCAGATTTTGACATCGAATTTGTACCTTGCCCATATCCCCAAAAATTACAACACGTTGCAAAGAGTCTTCCCCAGGATACGGAGGTGCTTTGAAGCTATACTGATGTCCCCAAACTAAAGAACCATTAAAAATGCGTTGACCAACTTGGTAAGTGTACCTGAAATTTGAACTCATATGTAAAACTTGATGCCCCTTGCAGTACCACAAATGAATGAGAAACAGCCAAATAGGAGAGAAATTAAGATGCAAAAAGGTTGCGTGAAATTCAATTACAAGAGATTGGGCCATAAGTCCTTGAGAAAACTTGTGTGTATGAAACCAGGATCACGCCAACCAACTGTCCTTGCAGGAGGACCTGACATAGAGCCATAAAGGTACATAGTAATGATAACGTTCTTATTAGATTCCATAGCAACGTTAATGACTCATCGGGTTTCATGAAAAGTGAAAACATCAGCACACTTAGCTTCGGAACATGGAAACACTAAATCCAATGCAAAACATAGGAACTGTTGGACATTGTAATTTTATCGTAAGAAAGATCCCTACATTTCAGATAAAAATTGAGGATATTACTCTTTATTTTTGCAGGATACAGTATGAAAATTACTAACCACACATGGTGTCGCGACTGAAAGTAAGGGTGCCTGCAGGAGAAAGGAGTTGGATTTGCCCTTGTATGCCCCATCGGACAAATGGTGTAGCCTCATTGGTACCATAGCCACTTGTCCATGTCACTGTCATCTAGAGTCACTAAAGAACAGTAAAAATCTTGAAGATATGATGCAATTTCATTCCCGAAAGCAGTTATGTTCACTTTTCCTTTAAAAACCTTGATAACTAGAATAAATTCTAAAGGTAAACAGTAAACTAAGAAGTATTCATCTAAATAATAACTAACTGAAATATCCAAGTTCTTGTTTTGCGTTACTTTAATTTTTTTTGCAAATTATAATTTGATCAAAAGAAAATGTTACTTACAGCTACGAAAAAAGTGCATTAGAGAAATGACCAAAATCTATCACCTATTTGCATTCAATATATTTTCTTTCGTGAGTCATATAAAACAATGTTACTTGATGTTCCCTTCATTACTTACAACAACAACAAAACGAAAATGATACTTCATTCCAGGATTTTCCCTGTGCTAAGCGCGGGTACACTGGAGCCTTTGGGTTGATGAAAGTAACACTCTTTGAGTGGGCGATGAGCTTCGGCTGTATTGTTACACAAAAAATGCAGAATCATGCTAAAGCACATACTAGTTATCCATCGTGGTATGCAGAGGAAACGGAGAATGGTAAAACAACTGGCAGCGATATTAGTGACCCCAAAATATAAAACACAATGGTACTAGTGTTCCTGTGCGTGTTTTCTATCTTACAATGACATGCAGCTCTCCTGCGTGGTGTGTTTGAGTTAAAAAAACAACCTAAACTCTAAATCAAAATGGTTCTCTTTGGTTATAAAGAGACGACAAGGTGCTCATTGCTAAAAATCTATGCGAAGTTGGAATTTGACTGTAAAGGTTGTACATGGCCCGGATATTGTGACAACTGACAAGTAAATTATTAATAATATTTATATAAACAAAAAGACCCCAGCATATGTCATGCTTAGTTAATCATTGTGTTGAAGGTGGCCAGGTGGGCCACAATTGTCTATCAGGAGAAAAAATAAATTTGATTAGGTTGTATGTATAGTACTGATAGCTCACATATACCAAATAAAAAGGTCTAAATTTTTGAAACCCTGCAGTTCAATAGATTGATTCACAAAAAGAAGAGCATTTCGCACATACATTCGACAGGCCTCCAGAGAACAATACAAATGAGAAACCCTCTCTCTGATTTATCAGCTGAAGCCTCAAGGATCCCTTTCCAGTGTTTCCATAATCACGATTAGTGTAGTTTGCAAATTGGAACTGCCGAAATATGAAGCCTCCTTCAGTGTTATGTTCAGATAAGAGTTATGAAGTCACCTAAACTCCACATGAAGAAAGCTCACAGGAAACTAACCCAACCTTGATAGGAGCTGTACAGAAAAGAGGGGGCTCCACCCATTCGTTCTCTTGTGGACAAATGGAATCACTGACAAACCCAATGAAACAAAATACACAAGATCAGTCCAGCTTTCCATTTAGCAAGAAGCATGCAGTATTCTACCAAAGCAAATAGCAGATAGTGTATCAGTTTATACTTGAAATTAGCAGGAGAGAAAACTCCAATCCAGTCATCCTTCGAAGGCCTGGGGTTACTATATGTGACGGTCACCCATTCTCTGTCCTTCCCCTGCAACAAATAAAGCAGCCGATAATCTGATTGCAGCAGAGGGAACCATTAGAGAGGGCAATGGCCCTACATATAACCCTTGTGCTGCAAATTTAAGCCCTATTTGGACATTCGAGTATTGAGCGTGCATATTTCTGACGATGAATTGCAAAAATTCAGCCCCGGATTGCGACAAAGCTCTCAAACTACTGTGCACGCATACTCGGAAGAGCTTAGAGCACCTCGAGCCTACGAACTGGCGCGCCCACTCGAATTAGCGTGAGGCGCCAGCGTTTCAGAGGGCTCGCCTCCAGGCCGAGAAGGGCCGGCGACGCGTCGACGAAGGCACCCGGCTGGGGCGCAGCGGTGGCGCGGTGGATGGCGGGACATCTAATTATTTGCCACTCTTACGGAGGCCGTCTATCTTATTATCAACTTTGTGGTGGCAACTACAAAAATATCTCAGAAAATAGTAACTCACCTAATTTTTTGTCATTTTTGCTGACGTGGCATGCCAGATCAGCCAGCCAGCTTGGGAACGGGTCGTTGACGCTCGAAGACCGAAGGCAAAAGACCATTCTGCCCCCGCCGTATATTGCTTAACGAGCGCCATCTCCCCCCATCTGCTCAGTCGCAACTGTTTTCGAAGGATCTCAGGGGCTAGACTGCAAATATAGTTTGACTGGACGGTTGAATAGCCAACAAAGATGACGTGGCTGCTGACCGAGTACGTGGCGCATGCTGATTGGAAGATAAAAGATGATGTGGCCTCAACATGACTTTGGTTGACCAACGGTCAAGATGAAATTGTGGCCGTCGATCTGGAAACGGATGGCCAAGAGGAGCCTCTGCTCTGGTTGTCTTCACAGCAGCAGGGACGTCGGCGTGGTGGTGCTCCCGTGCGGCGGGGGCTCGACGGCGTCGGCTGGGTTGCGGCTCCGGTGGCCGGGGACGCGCGGTGACCGGCGGAAAAGGAAGAGGCGACCGCGGCGTGTATGTTGGTGGTCCTCTTTGTCAGCAGAATGGCTCGGGGTGGTCTGGAGACGACGAACGACGAAGAGGTGCGGGCGGACGGTGGTGGCGGAGCTCGGTGGAGTTCGACGATGCGGCCACGGATTGAAAGGTCCTTGTTGGTTTTGGTAACTGAGTGACAACCTAGGTGGACTAATTGTGTTTATGTGAGATACACAGGTGATTAGTCCACAGGTACATGTGTATGAGCAACATATGCCGTGGAGGTGAAAATGGCTTGGAGATGTTGCAAAGCTCACACATGTGATGATGAAGGAGCTTATTGCACATGAGACATGACATTAAGTCATGTGATCAAGATGGAGAAGATCAAGACAAGACTTGGCTTGATGGACCGGTTGCAAGCGTGAAGGGCAAGTCGAAGGCTTTGGAGTGATGGACCGCGTGGCGGTGAAGCTTGAGCAAGACTTGGCGCCGATGGACGATGGCAACGGTGAAGGGCAAGTGAAGTCAAGATCGATGAACCAATATGATCACGTGATGATATGAAGTGGATCATATCATTGTTGATCGTGTTGGTGCATGTGTTGCATCAACATTGGAGGAGATGGAATGGAATGCGCAAGGCAAATGTATAACCTAGGGCATTTCATTTCACCGGTCATAGGTGTGTAGAGAAGTATATGACCGGGTTTAGGATAGATGGCCGTACTATCAAGAGGGGCAAACTTGTTTGCATATCGGTCATCTAGTGCCACTCGAGTGATCTAACTTTGCATTGTCGCTAGGATCGAGTGGCGTGGCAAGTTGAGTGGCTAACATCCTTTGGGAAATGATTGTGAAAATGCTAACACACATACACATGGTGGTGTACACTTGATGGTGTTGGCACATTTACAAACGAGGTGGTGTTTGCAGGGGTGAGATGGGTTTGGGTCCCTCTCTCCCTCCCGCCGAGCTTGTGAGGCGGGATTCGGTGTTTTCGGGAAAATAGAATGCCTATTTTCTATTGCGCTGGATGCAAATTCTTGTGGTTGGCACATTGGAGCAAGGGTGATGAAGTTAGAAGTGAAAACGAGTTAGTCGCGAAGATGCTGGTGTCGGTCAACTGACCGGACGCTGGATCTGAAACGACCGGACGCTGGCTGGCTGCGTCCGGTCAGGCTGACGTTCGATGACGCAGAAGCTGGAGTGTGACCGGACGCTGGCTGCGTCTGATCAAGTGTGACCGGACGCGTCCGGTCGAGGTCGGTACCTTACTGGAAACGACCGGACGCTGGGGGTTCAGCGTCCGGTCAGTTGAAGCTGCTGCGTCCGGTCAAGTCAAGTGACCGTTGGAATCAGGACACGTGGCCATCTGCGGGCGACCGGAAGCTGAGGTCCAGCGTCCGGTCAACACGACCGGAGCGTCCGGTCGGCCCGACCGTTGCCCAGTGAAGGGGTAACGGCTAGTTTAGCCCTTGGGGCTATAAATAGAAGTGGCCCTCGGCCATGGCTGTGGCTGAGCACCTCAAGGGACTTAGTGTCCATGCTTGTGAGTGCTTGGGAGCCCTCCATCACACATATACTTGATAGCGATCATCCGATTGTGTGAGTGAGCGATTCTAGTGCGATTGCATCGTGAGGTTGCATCGAGTGGCACTAGGTGATCGAGTTGCGAGCCGGTGGTGCTTGTTACTCTTGGAGGTTGCCACCTCCTAGACGGCTTGGTGGTGGTCTCCGTCGAGCGCCGCAAGAAGAAGCTTGTGCGGCGCTCCGGAGAAGTGCTTGTGAGGGGCATTGTGCTCGCCCATGGAGCCGCCAAGAGCAACTCTAGTAAAGCGTGTCATTGAGCTACCCTCACTCAAGGGGTAGGTTCTTGCGGCGCCCGACGTGCGGGCTTAGCGGGTGATGCTAATTAGCCACCCGAACCACCAAGTGAGCGGTCGACACAACGGGGGACTAGCGTGTTGGCAAACACGTGAACCTCGGGAGAAAAATCATCGTGTCAACCTTGTTCTTCCCGTTGGTTTGCATCCCCATTACACAAGCTTGCAATTACTTATATATATATCTTAAGCTTGTGTAGTTGCTATTGTAATTAGATAGCTTGTGTAGCTAGCTAATTACCTTCATGCTTGTGTAGCATAGAAGTAGCTCCCTTGCGTGGCTAATTTGGTTTTAGTAACCTTGTTAGTCACATTGCTTAGTTTGTGTAGCTAAGTATTTGCGCTCTCTAATTAGGCATTGGTTGCCTTGTTATTGAGTATTGCTAGTGAGCTTAGTTAGCTTTGTGCTTTTGCTTACTAGCATGTATAGGAGCTCCCTTGTTACTTAAAGTACTAGTGGCATAGGTTTGTGTGACCTTGCTCCTAGAATTGTTTAGGAGAGCTCTAGCTAGCCCGGCACCTTAGTTGCTTTATTAGTATCTTTGCAAGGTGCTAGTGAACATATATAGAGGGGTGTAGTCTTGGCTAGACCGATTGTTTTAATTCCGCATTTATATCGGTTAGCCGACGCGATTAAGTTTTAGAAAAGACTATTCACCCCCCCCCTCTAGTCCGCCATCTCGACCCTTCACACGGATCGACGATGAGGAGTAGCGGGGTGAGCTCGTGGTGACCCTGCTGTGCCGACGAAGAACCGATCGAGTCCAGAGGTGGTGGGAGGTGGGAGATCACGAGCTCGAGCCGACCCGGCAATGGCGGCGACGACGAAAGTTGGGGGTGCTGGCGTGGGAAAGAAGTTGCGGGGAGGGGCGTAGGAGCATCAGCGTGCACTTGCGACCTCGTTCCAGTTTTTATAGGGAGATGAACGATGAACGTGGACGGGAATGGAGCTCGGTTCATTGCCATCAATGGCGGCCGGAGTAACGGACAGAGGAAATGGAGGAACGTCCATTTGATGTAGGGATATTGAAGAGCAACGTTATAGCAGCACTATTATGGAATTTAATTGCCGCAGGAGTAAAGGAGGTGGGCTCTTTGGAGCTCGGATTCTCCGTTAATGGAGAAGAGAGAGAGGAGGAATTCTCGACGGAGGTTGAAGACAACATGACAGTGGGCCCGGCCGGCGGTGAGCGAGCCGAGAGAACCGCTGGGGCCGAGCACATGGGAGGAGACAAATTCGTTAAGCAATACACGGCGAAGCGTAATGGTCTTTTGCCTTCGGTCTTCAAGCGTCAACGGCCCGCTTCCCAAAATTTGGTGGCTGATCTGGCATGCCACGTCAGCAAAAATGGCAAAAAATTAGGTGAGTTACTATTTTCTGGGACATTTTTGTAGTTGCTACCACAAAGTTGGCAATCAGAGAGGCGGCCTCCGTAAGAGTGGCAAATAATTAGATGTCCCATGGATGGCGATCCTCGACAGTGGCTGCTCGCCACCTCCCGCCACGGCGGCGCCGGGACGCCGACGCGATAAGAGCGACCAGCGCATACACCGTCACCGCTGCCGCTGTTCTAGGCAATGACAGCCTCGTGCTCGGTTGTAACCAGCAGACGAACTCCTCCCGCTTTATGTATACCAATTTGTGGAATAAAAGGGAGCCAATAGATTATGGAATAGTCGGTATTCGGAAATCAAAGAGTGACGTCTAAGCTACAAATAGGTATATCTGGGCACAAAGCCCGAGCCCGTGAGCCCGGCACGGAGCCCGCTATTTAGGCCCGGCCCGAGCCCGGCCCGAGCCCGGCCCGGCCCGAAGGTCAATGGGCCCGGGCTGGCACGGCACGGGGTGCAGGCCGTGCTTGGGCCAAACCCTAGGCCTGTGTCGGACGCAACATGGCCATAGCAGCAAGCAGTGCCGGCCCAAGAACGGCCCCCTCCACTTCTGTGTTCTGG